AGAAATCCTTTCGGAGAAAAGGAAAAAATTATTGAATACTTTGTCTCGTTTCAACTAATTTCTTCCTACTTTTTTCTTCCTTGTTAGGACATTTCCCCTCCTCCCAAAATCGTTCTTTCCTCCTCCCATTAAACTAGCATTGCTATAGTAACGTTTGTTACCCTCTTGTTCCAGGGCGGGCAATAACTGCAGCTTAAGCCACTTTCTGAAGCCAGGGATAGGAGACAGTGTTGAGTATTGCGTGATGTTTGGAAACTCGTGCCGTAACTCTTCCACGACGTGCTTGATCAGAAAATTGCCAAGATCTACGCCACTTAGTCCTAAAAAGAGAGAAAAGAAATTACCAGTAATCAACCGAACCATATTTTAGCTTTTCATTGGTCGACCCTCCTTGAACACATTTGTCCATCGCAGATAACACTTCCTAGCCATCCCCTCCGCTGCATTGGATTGGACCGAATCTGAAGCCGTTTCTTCTTTGAAGGGGGGAGGGGGGGGGGACTGGAGGAATAAATCATAAATACGCCAGAGTCCTCCTCAATGTTTCTGCAACACCCATTCTGTACTGCATCAAAAACACACCTTTTTGAGTCGAAGTGATAGAATAAAACACTGCTGCGGTTCTTTTCTCTAGTTCATATTGACATGCGTCTCTATCCACCTCTGGTTCACTCAATATAACCTGGATTGAGAGACAAAAGAGCAGTTACACACTGACAAACCAAAGCAAATTATTCGATGACCATTATTTGATGACCATATTCAAAATCACTTTGGGTTTTCAAGAAGTGCCCTTTAAAAGCTACAGTCCCAGTCAGGCCGCTGCATGCAAAATCGTTTTGTATTTTTGTGAACAAAATTCGAAACATTTTTAAGACTTTTTCTTAATGATAACCCACCTGCCGCACCCACCTGTATATTGTCAGCAATTTCATACTCCAGTGCAGTGTGTAACACTACCACAGGTTCACCAGGCATGGAGCGATGTGTGTAAATATAACACCTCCGGTCAGGTGCAAGTCGCCGCTTCAGGTCGTCCCAGCCAGACATTGAATGCACTGCCTCATAACGCAATACCTGAGTTACAAAAAAAAAAACATCACTTAGTTACCTTATTGTGGATCTCTACCACCCCTCATACATTCTAAACAAATAGAAATATTACTGCTTCTTTTAAGTAAACTACAGAATCAGTCTGTTTGCAATTTACAGGAACACCATCACCCCGCTCAGAATGATGAATCCTAACTTATCGTACAGCAGGCAAAGGATAAAACAGCGCAGGCAAGTTGCCTTAACCAAGCCATTAAACCTCTCAATTGCATCAGTAAAATTTAAATTATTTGAATTAACCAATAAGCATGCACCTGAATTTGAACTACAAAAATACAAAAGAAAACAAACAAAGTCTTTTAGACGGAAGTCTTTGAAATTAGCTTAACTCTGAAATTTAAACAAACTTTTTTTAAAAGAAGCAAAGGTCAGAACAATCTTATTTACACTAAAGCTCGAATTCCACCCGTGGGACAGTTTCCCTCGGTAAGCTCTTGCTAACTAGTTGCACGGTTGTCAAAATAAGCCAGCAAACAGCGAATTTCACAGTCCACTCTGAAAAACACCAGCTACTCTGAATACTTGTGGCTCAATTTTCAGCATGGAAGCACAACATTGTGCTACCTAACTTTTTTAAAGGGGTTCATATGGGTTTGAAGATTTGAAGCTCAACCTTTCATTTGAAATCACCTAAATTTTTGCTTGGAAAGGATTAATCAGGTGAGTTCTTAATAATAATAATAATAATAATAATAATAATAATAATAATAATAATAATAATAATA